TAATAACTAGGGGTATGTCCAAAGTCTGAGAATACTTGGGGTTTTTTTCTAAAATTTTATTTTTTGAAAGGGGGTCAAAGAATACTTTGATTCATCTACATGAAATGTTGAGACAAAGATTATTAATAGCCTTTTTTCATATAAAATCCTTCCTATAGATTCAAGTTGTTGGGTTCCATTCCATGAACATCTCACAGAGACAATATGCATCTTATTTTCCACTGTTCTTATCTTATCTAAATCACTTTTCTCCTAAGAAAACTTTTGGGTAACTGGCAAGCCCAGATTGATTGAGAGAGGGCACCCATTTGGAGGAGAATATTGCTTTGCCAGCAATTAGACTTTTGAGGACACTATGGCCTATGGGGTGAGACTGGGGAACATTTTAGGGTACCGTCCCATACTGTCTTACCAACTCTAGCAAAGTTGGGTTTGGTGGGGCCATCCATTGGGCCTTTGTTCCCTCAGCCTCAAGACTCTAAACTGATTGGGCCTTTTACTCTAGAAGTATGATTTTATTATTTACTTACCCATTAAAATTCCGTTTCCGTTTGTGTTATAAATATGACATCCTATAAGAAGAAGAATATACAGAAAATTCCCGTAAATAAATATTCTCATATTGTGTTCCATATTTTAGCACATTTTATTTGATTCTAAGTGAAGTGACAACAAGGAGTGAAGTAGAGGGCAGAGAGAGATGGGACTGATGTGGGAAAACGAAGGCCATGAAAGGTAACTTTTAGAATGCATGGTGCACAATAAAAGAAAGGTACAAAACATGTTGAACATAGAAATCTATCCAAGATTATACAGGATTGGCTAGAGGAGATGGATACGCAACTTTCTGGCGAGTCACGACAAGCATCATCTATGACAGTCGGCCTAACAGTCCATATTTGTGTGGCCAAGTCCAATGAAATTTTGAGTTTTTCTTCTTGTAGGACCTTCACGAGCCTCAGCTATGGAGCATATAACATTAAAAGTACGCCTGGAGAATGTGCTTCATCGCTTCTTGCAATTACTTTTGCCCCTACAGAAGATACCAGCTCTGCATTTCTGCTAAAAAACAATTGCAGAAAAAAGTTGTGCTGTTGAAAATGACATGAAATTAATGTACAGTTACTATCAACCTGGTTCTCGTGAGTTCAACTTTGGTGCATCTTATCTGAATTAATGGCAGAGTGGCCATGGATAGGACCAGACTCTTAATCCGTTGCCAAACATTGTTTTTAATTGGTAGGACCAGATAAGAAAGAAATTAATTCACGATCCTCTTTGCCATGCTCTTGCAACCGTTGATTTTAATAGGGTACAAGATGATTATATTCTTCTTTCTATGGATCGAGATGGAAAAGCTCAAGTGGCATGGGATGAATGAAATGACACAAGATTTTGAGTAAATATGCAATCCGACGCAAAATTCTGAACTTTATTTGAAAGAAAAACAAGAGTATTAAAGTTGAGACATTCGTGAATTTCGATAAATATTAATTTTAACTATGTCATTATTTGTGTGTTAAGTCTTCCATATTTGTTTTACCGACAGCAAGACATTGACTAATTAAAAACCCCATAATAAATTTTACTTAACAGAACCATCAAGAATCAAAATCATCCTCGGAGGCATGAGGGCTTGAAAATCTTCTAGGTATTTGATACATCAAAGTCGGTCTTTAATTGGTAGATATTGACATGATCATGCAAATGAATGGATTACGTGTGAGCTTTTGGTTCGTAAAATGCACACGTGTGCTCGCAGCCACACGCACACTACCGGCTGCCCCAAACACCAAGGAATGGGGGAAGAAATCAATGTGTGCAAGTTCTGTTGGTAATGGGCCAAATAAATTGACTAACCGAGGAGCTCAAAAAAGAGAAAAGTAAAGATGAAAGCTGTTCATGTCTACTTTACGCACTAAAAGGCCTCTCCACGATGTTTCTTTTTTCCCTTTGGTGGGACTTGGAAAACATATTACGCACCACTTTGGATTTTTCATACAAAAGTTTGTCTAGTCATTGTAAGTTACAAGGTTGAAGGTGATGATCCACTGATATATCATATACATATACGTGTGACAATTTCGATCGTTCGAAAATGCTAATGTTATTTACTTATTACATCACTAATAATTTATAACTGACGATTATGTTCAGTATAGCCCTCAATCCTATTTCTTTTGAGCATTTAATCCTACTTGTTTAGGCTCCAATTATAAATTTGATAAATTCTACATTTCAATAAGATTGATTAGATAGGATTTCAACCTTAATCACCTTTTTAAGTGAGGCAAAATTAGGAGTCCATCATTGTGTGCATTCAACTGTTTGTGAACTTTATGCTAACCCTCTTAGCCCCTCTGCCACATTATAGTTAATGCATTTCAAATTTGATGATCAATGGCTAAGTTGTAGATTCACCAATAACTTTTAGAGTTGCTTGAAAGAGGAGGCAAGCAGATCTTACAAGGCCATATAAATGAGGAGGCAGCCAAATATTACTGGGCCAGAGCTAATCTAAGCCAGTCAAAAATTACATGGCCAACAAGAAGCTTTTTTTTATAAAAAAAAATTGTTTATTAAAGAGTGACTTCCAAGCACACAAAAGTTGGGTGGCATCTACCAAATTCTCCAAATCTATAATGACATGCACATAAAAGTCAGCAAACATTACATGCCTATAGCCCCATAGGCCATGGCCAACACCCACTTGAGAGTCAAATTCCCACCTTAAGGATTAGAAGCCCTAGAATCCAAGGCAACACAGGCTCTTTACCCTCCCCCACCAATCCCAGCACAAACTCCTCTGGTTTTATTTCACAGCCTCATCACAAGGGTAAAATTCAAAGCTTTTCTTATCTTAGTAGTTCAGGGATCTCTCAAGTAAGTTTATTTGAGACTACTCTTGTAGTATTTACCCCGCATGTTATTTCAATGATCCGAAACTATATATATACCCCACTCTCTTCTATTACTAAAGCACCAAAATTCACATCAATGTGGGGTTCATCCAAAAACACCTCCATCATATATAATTTACATGCATATCAATATTAAAGACACACAACAATTGATGATTATTTTAAAGCCAGCTTCCCACTACTAGCAATCATTTCAAACCCATCAATCTCTCCACAATCTCACAAAACCCTCCTTTTATGCTACCATCTCTCATCTTCCCTCCCTCCCTTAAATACCTTCAACACCAGTGACATAAAATTCAAACAACTGGTTGCAAGAACAGACACTTATTTTTCAAGGTCTCTTAACCATGTCCAGCATTAGTGCAGGGGTGCTCTCAGCTGACCCTGCAGCTGATAAGATACACAAGAAATCCTTCCACCGAAGGAACGATTCGGGTGAGCTCGATGTGTTTGAAGCTGCAAGGTACTTCTCTGGATACAATGAAGCTCCCAGCAGCCATAACAACAACAACACCAACAACACGTCGACGTTTTCGCAGAAGATGATGAAAGAAGACAGATCATGTAGAGGAGGCAGAATTAGCCTTGACATTCCTATTAGACACATGCTTCATCATCCTCAACAGCACCCTCATCATCATCACCATCATCATCATGTGGTGGTGGAAAAGCAAAACGTCAAAGACAAGAAATACAAGCAGCCGAGCTCTCCAGGTGGGAGACTAGCTAGCTTCTTGAATTCTTTGTTCAACCAATCAGCATCTAAGAAGAAGAAGTCAAAATCCAGTACCACGCAGTCCATGAAAGACCATCATGAGGAGGAGAGTCCTGGTGGAAGGAGGAGAAGGAGGAGCAGCATTAGTCATTTTCGAAGCTCGAGCACCGCAGATGCCAAGTCCATATATTCTTCATCAAGTTCAGGTTTCAGAACACCTCCTCCTTACAATTATGGACAAACAGCAGCCTCAAAGAGCTGCAAAGACTTGAGAAGCTATTCAGAAAGCAGCAAAACCTGCAGCAGCAGGTGGTGTCTTTGTCAAAGTACAATACTAATGGACAAGTAAAATCCACAGCAGCCTTGCAATATGAGGAGGTGGTCCTGGATGACAAGAAATCAAACAGAGAACTGTCTTGGTTGGATCACGAGAAATTCAAATACAGTAATGGGTTGTCAGAGAAGTACAAGATTAGTTCAGATCAGGATCACAAGGGGTTGCTCAAAAGGCTCAGTGAGGTTGTTGATGATGATGATGATTATGATGAAGGTGCCGATAGTGATTCAAGCTCTGATCTTTTTGAGTTGCAGAACTATGACTTGGGTTGTTACTCAAGCGGCTTGCCTGTGTATGAAACTACAAATGTGGAGAACATCAAGATCAGATCATCAGGAACACCAATTTCCAATGCCTCATCCTGATGTTTAATATTTATTCCATTACCAGTTGATATGTGACATGATATAAAACTATGTTAGATATTGGATTATGTATTTGTGGTTGAGAGAAGGAAATTGAATTTCCTAGATTTTGCTTCTTTGTTTTTATTTCTCTTATCTTCTCTCTGAAAGTTAATCTTCCAATGTTTTTTTCTCTGTATGTACAGTTCAGAATGTTTGTTTGTCTTTTGCTTTTTTTTTACTTTACTTTTGGAGCTATGTATAGATCAAGCCTCCTCAGCCATATTTGTTATATCAAGTGTTGGAAAATCAGAAGCCTCAGCAGCAGTGCACCAGTTTGGTGGGGCTTGACTATTGACTAGATTAGGCTGTGCCATGCCAAATTTCCTCCCATGAATCCATGATCATATAATATTCAATTCATATGAGATGTTCTACTAGATTTAAGGAGAAACAAGGCATCATCATCACTCACACCATGTGAACTGCATACCTCTTAGCACTTTTCATCATGATCACTTTGGGCAACAACAACAAGCGCAATCATGTATATACTGTTAATTATTTTGTGGGTTCTCATCAGCTCTGCATGTGAATATTTACTGGGGGCTACTGGCCCTGGTTTGTAGTGTTATTAAGCGTTCATTTACTATGTTTAAACACTATCGGTTTTTATAGTATTTGTAGTTCAAGTGGTTAAGTGCATCTACTCCAATACATGAGGTCCTAAGTTCATTTTCTTCCTCCCCTAATATCACTTGCATCAAAAAATAAAAAAACTTTGTAGTTTCTGTAAAGATTATATACTGAGATGAGACTCCAATGTGGCATGCAGATGATACATCTCTGTCACAGACATGGGGGCAAATAGGATTGATAGTAAATGGAGTTGATTTCATGGAGGTATGGGAAAAAGCATTAAAGTTTAAGATCCTCACTGCAGGCACACCTAACTTTTGTCTGCCTAAACTTCAAATAATTGATGTGATCAAATACATTTCTGTCTAATCAAATGATCAGCAATGAAAGGCAATTAAGCCTAAGGCCTTAGTCTATTTCTATCAGTATTAGGGCTAATATCTAGATTCTAGAGCCCTAGACAAAGCCAAATTGAACGTCCTTTTAAGATCAGATCAGGATAATGATTCAAACTAATGGAGCCAAAAACTTTTCAGTACATTCTGCTTTAATTTTTTTTTTTCTTGGTACTGAAGCAACATCCACAAAAACCAATTTTAAGACCTAAACCCAAATGGCAGCCAAATAAGATTTAGGATTAATTACTATTTTATCCCCTGAAACGGGTGCTCGGTCTTGCTTTACCTCATGAAATTGAAATTTTCTCACTTTACCTCCAAAATTTCTAAAAATTGACGAAATTTTCTCATTTTACCATTTTTGTCAATTTTCATCAACAAAACCGTTAACTAAGTTGACATGGCATGTGCATTTTATTAATTTTAGCTATTAAAAAACTTTAAAATCAAAATTAAATATAAAAAAATACTTTTTAACTTGTAATTTTTTTTAGGGTTAACAAACCCCTTCTTCCCTTTCTCCCATTCCTGTCAACTCACAAACTAGATTTTTGAAGATTCTAGAAGTTAAGTGAGAAAATTTCAATTTCATGAGGTAAAGTGAGATTGAGTGTCTATTTCAGGGGGTAAAACAGTAATTAAGCCTAAGATTTAAAATTAAGATTTGTTTTTGAGAAGGATGAGTCTCCATCTACAAACCAAATTTTAACTTACTTGAAAGACAATCCTCTTGGTGAAGCCATGACTTGCCAAATATAAAGGCTGCATCATTTACTTGTGCTGAAGAAGTTTTGTACATAATTAAATTTGGAGCTTTTGGATAGCCTTTAAGAAAGAATATATGAGGGCTGAAAAATGATGCATGGCAACCAAAAAGCCTATGAAAGGGCCAATGATGCATGGGGCACCAAAAGGCCCCAAGCAAAGCATGTAACTGTGACTACCAGAGTGAGTGGAGGAGAGGGAGGGCCCCAAAATTATTAAAACACTAAATATAAACATTGCTTTTCCCTGCAGATAAATCAAACTCTGTTTTCTTTTATAAAAGGCATCTGCAAAGTAAGAACTCAAGCTCCCCATAACCACTTCACTATAATGACATTATCCCGCAAAAGACTCATTAATGAAGTTGTTTGGAATAATTACTCTTTTAGGCAAGGGTTTGTGTTTGAGTCTTAGCATTCATATTGTGTGTATAAATTTAGTATATTATCGCATCTCTTAATACAAAAAGTCCTAAAAAAAAAAATAGAGCATTATCCCAAGTTTCAAATCCACTTTCGCCGCATAGATTTTAATAAAGGTCCCATAATTTTGGCTCAGTGGGTTTTTTTTTTCAGTCACAAATTCAACCAAGAAGCAAAACAGGAGATCAGTTTAAGAAGCAAAACAGAACCATACACACCAAAAGGACAGGAAGAAATTAAGAATGTACAGGCATGAACAGAACACCAAGCATATCAGCCCTGCAAACTTAATCCCAAAGACCATTTTCTTTGGAAATTTCAAGATGCATTTTGAGTCTCTTTGACTTGGTGTTCTGCCAACCACTTCTGGTAAAGTAAGGCAGAGACAACAAACCTTCTTAATTTCTATCTACATGTGGGAGGTTCCTCAAGCCAGCTATATATGTCTTGATTCATAGCCCTCAAAATGCTCATATCTGTTGGACTATAGATCACAGAGGATCAAAGAATTTGATGGTTTTTGTCCTCAAGTTTGGGAACAGAAGCAGAAACTAGATATAAGATGAATTTGTAAGGGGAGCAGGTGAGCCTTGCCTATATGCTCTGAATGAGACTCTGAGTTCTGACTGGGACATTGCAACTGCAAACATAATATCAGGTATGGAATTAAATACGATCATGACAACCAAAGTGTCATAAATTGGCCTCAAATTTTGGAAAATGTTCAATTCATCAGTTCAAAAGTTCTGCTCATCAATGAATAATTGGTGCACATATCATATATACATGAATAGTGTGAAAATTTCCAAGATGAGAAAAATCAATCTTCACTGACCTGGGCATTGGCTACACAGCCTTAGCTAGCCTTAGCTTTGAGTAGGGTTCCAAAGTCCAACCAGATCATCATTGTTGGTGCATTCCAGATAGCATCAACCTCCTCATCATGGCCCAATGTTCCCCACATCAAACTTATCCATATAGATCTGGCACCCATTAGTTCGAATGTTCAGTGGCAAATTTTTTGTTTTGTTTTTTTATACAAATGATATTGGATATGCAGGAGTAACTGTTTTTAACCACTTAAACTACCAAGGTTTGAAATTGTCGGGAAGACTTAATTCTAATTTATTAATCCAATGCTTCGTCTTCAAGGTCAAATTGTTGGGCCGATGTAGGGTTTAGCCATAGAAGTTGGCCTGAGCCATCCTCTCTATTGTCCCATTCGACTACTGCTGACCCAAAAGCCCATAGAATCAATTTGGGTTGGGTTACACCAAAATTTGTGCCTCTCCCTCTCTTTGGGTGACAGCAATTGGCTGGTGCAATCTTGTTCAAATATTGGGCTGAAACTAAAAAGATAATAATGTACATGAAAAAAAGAAAAAAGCAAATTTGTGCTCAGGTAGTCGTTTTCAAGGTTTTGTTCACATCTGGTTTGAGTGTGCGGAAGCAGGCAAGAAAATGGACAAATCCAGAGAGAGAGAGAGAGAGAGAGAGAGAGAGTCACACCACCAGTGGCAGGTGCAGGTTTCCCCACTGCATCCACCCCATACCCATCTCATGCATCCAATATCTTCAGCTTTTCCAGACTGACAATGGACACGCGTCAGCCTTTCAAGCCATACAAGTGGCGAACAGGGTTACTTGCCACTTTCCCTCCCTCCCTCCCTCAAGATTTCTTTTTGATCCTCAATTAACCTTTGCTAAACAGTAATCAAGCTCTTAAATTAAGCATCATTAGTTGCCTCATCTATTTTTTCTCAGATTAATTACAAGTCTCAGTTCTTCAATGAATTGATCATGTCCTCCAATCGTATAGGGTCTTTTCTGAGTAGGTGTACAAAAATCTTTAAGCTTAAGATGTCTCTGATGATTATTAATTAGCGACAAAGCACCCACAGTCGACAGTTGCATTGCATAGATATAGCTAAGCATGCTTGGCTGCGTCAGAAAGTCCCCCCACCAAATGCCTCAACAATTTCACAGGCCAAATGGGCCACATCGTTATGCATTTAGCCAATATAAATCTCCTTCAAAAAAATATAAATTTATAATCAATCTCTATCAACGACAAAGATGACAATTCAATACGTAAAAGAAGTAAGATTAAAACGAAGAAAAAATAACATATTCAATCGCATACTATAAATCATCTTACTACTCTAAAATTTAATCAATAAAAAATTCCCGAATACACTCAAAAATTTACTCTCTAATCTTCTTAGATCTTTCTAAATTTCTCACTTCTCAGTATCGACCCTTGATCATATATAAATATCAAAAAATAATATCTTAAACTGTTTAGTAATTTAACTTTTTAATAAAACACAATATGGATACCCAAAGATTGGTAATTAAGTTAACACAATGAATGAATGGATTACCTTAATTTAATTAACTCACAACCGGTTTTGTTTGGAAGAAAAGGAACAAGAAGCAATCGTCGTCCACTTTGTCCCTGTAATAAGAAGCAAGAGGCGTGTACTAAAATGGAATTTGACATATATCCTCAATTATCATTTCTCAAAAGCTACAAAAGACCTCGACATGCTTTTGGACAGAGTCGTGGAGATTATGTTGACTCTCAGTCACAGTGTATCTGCTTCGACCTCACCAAAACCTGAAAATAAAATACTCTCTCTCTCTCTCTGTCTCTCTCACTCACTCACTCCGTGCCTTCATTGTTTCGTCTGGTATGCAAAAACTACTCCCCACCCGTCTTTCATTCTTGCTCTCTTTTTCAGCTGTCTTTTTGCCTTTTTATATTCTGTTTGTTTCCCGAGAAACCGTAGGAAACGAGCAGAAATTTTTAGGAATCTTTTAACAGCCATTTGGTTTCCCGTAGAATTTTAGTAGCCAAACGCACCTACGTGAATGGGTTCTAACTTTTAAGTTATTTATTGAAATGGGTATTCAGCATACTTTACTTTGCTTCTTTTCAAGACATGATCTTTTGTCTGCTTCTTTTTCTAAGCTTTTTTCTTAAGCAAGGTTTGAGCTTGAAAAACATTTCAGTCTCTTTCATGGGATTTCAAATGTGAAAGTCACTGGAATATGTGATTCTGTAATCTGGGTATATTTTGGTTTGAGCTTTAAGTGTTCATGTGTTTATGCTCTGTAGTCGTGTTGGTGCGGATTTTATTTGAGGCTCTGTTTGATTGCTGACGAAAACCAGAAATGGAGTGAAACTCTGGAGCTATGCATTTTCCTCTGCTCAGTTTTGTTCTCTTTTTTTTTTCTTTCGAAAACACTGAAAAAGTCAAGCAATCCACTTTTCTTTTGTTGCTCTGTTCCTCTGGTTTCTCAGCAACCAAATAAAGCTTGATCTTTTGGGCTACTTAGCTAGTGGAGCTATGGTTTTGATCTTTTGATGTGATGGGTTTGCTTAATTCCATGCAGCATCATTGTTTTAGTTTTTGGGAATTTATAAATGTTCGATTTTTCATCTTATTGCTTTGATTGTTGATATGGTTGCCTTGATTTTGTTTCCACAGTGGTTATTGATTTTAGACGTCAATGTTTTTTTTTTTTGGGGTGAATCTTTGTGCTTCTTTGCTTCCATGAGGCATTATGTATTTAAAAATGGAAATTTACCGTTTGCGTTTGTGAATTGTGGTAGGCATTAACATTACTGCATAATTCCTTTGACTTGAATTCTGTTCTACTTATGGAGTCTTGGAGTTTCGGTTCAGAAGGGAAAGGATTTTTATTTCCCGAAGAAATAGACATACAAATTGATGCGTTTGCAAGGAGTAGAAAAGCATTGCTAGAATGGGATAACAAAACTTGCTTTCATTTCGGTAAAGAATCAGTTGACGGCATGGAATTCATGGAATTGGATCTCCCTGACATAGTGAGGAAGCCTTTTCATACAAACCAAGGAGTGGAAATCTTGAGTGGTGTGGTTGGTAATGCTTCTAGTTATACTACTGTAGCTTCTCCTACTTTTTTGATTTCTTCAAGTTCATCTTTGGGTGAAGGAGAATCTGGGTCGAAGTTTTCGAGCCCGGTCACTGAATATAATAGCCAGGATTCATCACTCATTGCTTTGAAGCTAGGGAGGTTGACTGATAGCAAAAGTGGGCAGAATGGTCAACATTCTAAAGAGAGGTCTAAAAGAGGTGGCAGTAAGGGTTCATACTCTCACATTCCCACCTGCCAAGTCCTTGGTTGTAACATGGATCTTAGCTCCTCAAAGGATTACCACAAGAGGCATAGAGTTTGTGATGCTCACTCCAAGACTCCCAAAGTGATTGTTAATGGCATGGAACAGAGGTTTTGTCAGCAGTGTAGCAGGTTTGGTTCTTTTTTCTTTTTCATCTAAATTTTCCTTATTATGCCATCACTTTGCTTTGCCTGTTCTTAAGTTTCTGTAGTTATCATGGCACATAATCATTGAAAGATGGTATTAATTCCTATCCTACTTATGTATTTGGAATGAACCCCACGGATCCCAGTTGTTTATTTCTGAAGTTAAGTGATGAATTTCTTTGTTGACTTATGAGAAGTAAAAATGAGATGAAGATATATGAAATCTGAAAAAGAGGCATCCCTTTTCCATGGGGTGCAGTGTCTTGAAGTTGAATCTGCATTACCACAACCACCCTGAACAGAGTTAAAGAAAGTTATGTTGCAGATTCAGCACTCCACTTTAAATATTTGCTCCTAGGATTGGCACATAGTAGAATCTCATATTGATGGTGAGGGATGAATTTCTTTTCAAGAAAGAAGAGGACATTTTGTGTCTTTACAGTTCAACTTCAACCTCAACCTTTATAAGATTCCGTTTTGATAGTCAAATAAAGCTTAAGCAAATTAATTGGACAGTGATCGATTTTTTCCCTGTCCAGTTATGAAGTTCTTTAACCTTTATTTGTTGTATAAGGTTTTTGCTGAATGGTATGAATTAAATAGGGTTTTGGGCTTGAAAAAAAATTATAATTTTAATTGCTCTAATGTTAGTTCTTCAACTTTGACACGGTTTCTATTTTACATCTGACAATGAACGTCAAACCTGTTGAATTCCTCTTTAACTTTTATACCATTATTCACCCCAAGCTCTAAGTGCTGAGTTGTTATAACTGGTATGAACAATGGTATCTTTCTGTGATTAGGTTTCATCTGCTTGCTGAATTTGACGATGTTAAGCGCAGTTGTCGTAGACGCCTAGCTGGCCACAATGAACGCCGAAGGAAACCTCAACTAGATACCCTCAATTGTAAACCGCATAAGTTGCTTCGGTCATATCCAGGTATGAACACCCACATATATCTCATCTGCTCGCAGTAAGAAGGCAAAAGAACTTAAAAATCATCCATATTGAAACAGATTTAGCAATTTTCCAGTGTATTTCAAATATGGTAGGGAACATTTTAAGGTAATGACACATATGCCACTGTTCATCTTAGAGTTAGTGATTGAGCCATAGTGCCAGGCAAAGACACTATTGTCAATGCCATGTTGACCATCACATACCTTAATCTTATAATCAACTCATAGGAATATAGTATTTTCTTTAATGTTTTATCAATGAAAGAGAGTAAAAGATACTGGAGGAATAAAGGGGATAAGTTTTTCTAAGATTGCAAGATGCTAGAACCAAGTATGATGCATATACTTTTATATATATTGTGATGGAATAGACCTTGCTGTGTGATTGCGTCTGTGGCTAGATCATAGAGATAAGGGCAAGATAACTTTATCCTATTCTTTAGTCCCACTATGTTTGAATCTTTTGACCAGGCCATGTCTTACCTATAATATGTTGTTTTCAAAAAGAACTTTTTTGCTATCAAGGGCCAAAGTGGCGACATCAGCCACCTACAGAGGCCCTTTTAATTCTCTCTGTCTATGGATTTTTGTAAAGTTAATTTTGGATCTTCTAAGGAAAAGCAATAAAGAGCACTACCATCCACTTAATACACACTAATTGGCATTGAGGATTAAAATGTGTGCAAACAGTATAGTTCTCAAAACATTTGATTAGAACAAAGCATTTGATCAATATTCATGTACCAGGTGAATGAGATTAGCAGCTATGATTTTTACAGTTAGCTTGTATATTGGTTTTGCAGGCACTGGTTATGTAGGAACTTCCTTTGCAAAGAGAACACCCTTTGTCTTTTCAGATATTCTTCCAGGTGGCATTCTATATCCAGAAGAATATGCACATGCTAACCAGTATGGAAATGTCAAATGTGAAGATGAGTCAACTTACAGTCAATGTGTAACACCTATAGCAAACAGGCAAATGCTTCCGAAATCCGTCCTTGGGAAACAACATGCTCCAGGAATTCCTTCATCAGGAAATGAATACTCTGCTTTTGATGCAGCATCAACCATTCAGAAAGTATCTGGGCCCTCAAACTCCGGTTGTGCTCTCTCTCTTCTGTCAACTCAATCGCATAACTTATCAGGCCATTCAGCAGGAGTTCAGGTTCCTAGCCCCTCGATAATACAACAAAGAACTCATCACAGTGTTGGTCAACTTTATGAAAAGCCTTCAAGAGTAAACTCCATGGAAAAATGTGGACAAAGCGGGTCTTACCTACGTAGTATGAACTCCATGGGAGCTGACCAGATGGAATCAGTAATAGATTCTAGTCAGGCTGTTGACTTCCAACTTCACACAGATGGGGTTTTTCAAGAGTCACATTGTTTGAGTACCAAGTATTGTCTTTCTCCCGAACATGGAACAACTTTTGATTTGCTGCAATTGTCATCACATCTTAAAAGAGTGGAGCATGAGAGAAACTTTTTGCAAGTAAAACAGGAACATGGAGAATACTACTGTTTCCCAACCGCTTAAGCGTCATGTAGTTGACAATGTGATTATGTGAGTGTTTCCACTTAAAAACTTTGTTCTTGTTCTTTTTTGTCACCCTGTGAAAGTGGGAATGCCGAATGCATTCCCGGATTGAAAGTTTATATTATCAACAGATCGTGTGTAGGATCTTTCACAGCACTCAAGTAGCTCAGTTGAGTAAACTCTCTCAAAGCAAATCCTCTTTGCTTTAAAAAGTCCTCGAAAATCTAGTAGCAGCATAAAGGCAATCTAATCATATTTTGTATACTTGTGTTGTGTGCACTTAATCATTGGATGAAATGACTGGCTGTGTCTCCGCATGTATATAGCTTTATGCAGGATATTCATGATCATGAGGATTTAATGAAAACGACGTTAATGATTGTGCAGGTTGGTGGAGGCAGTTTGGTTTTTTCTGCATCAGTAGTACTCTGACTATATTGGTGGATTCTATACAAAGGCTGCTAAAAACTTTAGATACCATTGGTGGTAAAACTTACATTCTGAAGGGCAAATAACAAGAGAAAAAAGCAATGTGGATTCTGATATTGTAAAGTTATGCAAGTTGACACCTTTATTTTAGTTATGTGCAAACTTTATGCTAATATAATGATTTAAGTCATTATCTTACAAGTTTAAAGTATCATTGGTTCAGTTTACTGTGTGTGATGGTGTTCAAATTGTACCTGCTTTCTGATCTCTTTGAGCATGGATAAGTTTGAAGGCACTAACCATAATGAAAGAGAATGGAGCCACCAACATTAGTGTAAAATTTTGTCAAAATCCTTCTCTCTATTTTCATATCAAAGTTCTTTACACAGGGTGGCTTTCTTTTGTGTGGAAGATTATCATGCCTGAGCAACAGGCTAACTCCTTTATTATTAATGTTATCCTTGTTTAATCTTTAGTCAATAAAGTTCTGCTGCCAATATTCCAAAAATAAATAAATATAAATAACTAAAAATACTGTTGCATCATCAATGTTTTAGTGGGTTACCTTGGACTTTTATGAATGGAAAATACCTCTTTCCTTTACCTTGTGTGGAAGTTTATACATCTCAGGCAAAGAAAAGTCTGTCAATCTTGGCGATTTTTGTGAGCCTTAATCACGTCCAATTAAAGCCAAAAGTGGATTAGCATCAAAGTCTTGAATTGAAACCACTAACCAATTGTGCTCACCAGCCACCACTTTGTTTTTTTAAAATAATGAAGCAAATAAATATACACAACTTGGACATAAAAGTATGAATAACTTTGTCCTTGCAGCAATATGAATGTTAGATTAATGTGAAAAGAATTGCTAATGCATGTTCGTTTGCATGTGGAAGCAACAGCATGCCCCAAAAGCACCTAAACCCCATTTTCATGCCAAGCTTGTAGCAATCATATGACATCACGAGTGACGTCGTTTAAGGGCGCTTTTAGCCTTGACGACGACTGCTTTGTTAATTGACCTCTGTCGTATAGCGTGATTTTTGACTTTTTGAAGTGCGCCGGTGATGTCAGCGGATTTGTTTGGGCTTATTGTTAAAAGCATTCGGGCTACGGGGGTGGGCTTTATGGACTAAGTACTGCAAATCGCGGGTTACGGGTTGTTGATCCATTTAGGATTTTAACCCCCAAAGAAAAAGTCTTTTTTAAATGAAAATTATTATGTGCTGAAGTGAAAAAAAATTTAGAGTATATGAACACCTAATAATGCGACAGTCTCCAAGATAAGTGGCAGAAAATTTTGAAATAAGTAAGAAAAAGGCTATATGTTGCATTAGCATATGTGAGAGAAATATATAAAATAAAATACGGAGGCAACTATTAAATATGTGAGAAACACTTGCCTATCACGAGTCTAGCCGGTTTTAGAAAGGCTTACTAAAAATCTTCGAAGAGAAAACATGACCAATGCCTTTAATTATTTGGATGTGAACCCATTCGCAATTGGGCCGCATATCCTATCTCAGGGCCAGAGCATATCAAGGCCTCTTTGATGACTTACAAAAGAGTCAAACATTATTCTTATACCTAATTATAAGACAATTATGAAGTATAAACAAGAACCTCAAATCAAATTGGTGAAACTCGAAAGTTAATAAATAGAAGGATCCAAATTCCAAAAGTACAAGAATACGAAACACTAATTGAAAGTACTCAAATGCAAAATAAGTTCATTAAGAAACAAAAAGAAAAAAAAAAGTACGTAGGGAGTCAAACTCACGTTCTAATTAACAGGAAGGAACTAAACGAGTACTTCTAATTAGTTACACGCATGCATATTATATATATATATATATATGCTGAAGAAGTGAGATGATGTAGTGGTAGGTAGGTAGGCAGCTGATCTCCATGGGAAGCAAAGCAAGCATCAATCTGAGTGAGAGAGGCAAAACCCAAAATTCAGGTGGTGATCATCCCCATCCCATGTCATGGCGTTTTTGGGTTTTGGCAGCACATGGCTAGGATGTTCATTCCTGCAAAATCTGAGCCCTTCAAAGCATCAATCTGAGAGGCAAAACCCAAGTTGAAGGAAAGCAAACAAAAAAAGAAGAAAAAAGAGAAGAAGGGTTTTGATAAATAATAATAATTAATTAATATACAGAAATAGATATAGACAAGATATTCTCTCTTACGTTGTTAGTGCTGCTGCAGCTCCCAGAATCTGATCCAGCTGACGGACTAGGAATGTACCTAGCCCACTGTCACAAATAATATAATATTGACAGCTAGCTAGTCAGAATATATATATATATATATATTTCATAAATTAATAATGCGTAGGGCACGTAGTACATGAACCCTAGCTAGCTAATAAAATGCAAAAAGAAAAAAAAAAGGGAAGTTCATTAACGTACATTTTTTGCTGCAGCACTAAAAGCTTCTCGATGTGGGATCTCTGGGTTGGCTGCTTTGATTCGCTGGATCTCTTCTCTGTAATCATCAACACAAAGAAAGTAAATTAATGAAGAAGAGTGATTTAATAAATAAAGACGGCTTAGCTTGGATCCCCTTACTTCATGAACCGATTGTAAGCAGATGGAAGTCTGTGTTTCTTCTCAGGTGCTGCAAAACAATTTGACATTTATAATTAATCAAGTAATTAATTAAGGCGAGACTATATCAAATGTAGTTGATAACTTGTATATACGTACGTTTGACAACAAAGGGAGCTTTGGGGGATGATGGCTCGCTTGATATTGGTGAAGATGATGATGAGGATTGGCCCTTTCTGAAGTCACTGCAGCATCCCGCCTGGTTCTCATTATTATAAAATCAACACCTTATATATTCTCCTTAGATAGTCATACATATATATACATATAAACAAAATTAATATACTGTATGAAAGCCCTATCTAAGAACATATATATAAGATAACAAAAATATAAACAGAAACATATATATAAGATTTTCATATGTTATATGACCATTGGAGAGTAGATAAAAGGAAGGAGACACAAAGAGAGAGAGAGAGAGAGAGAGAGAGAGAGAGAGAGAGAGAGAGAGAGAGAATGAAATTTTATCAGACGAAAGCACAGGAGTTGGGTTTTTCAACTTCATGAATGGGTTTAGTCCAATGTTAACGGGGGTTTGCAGTTTTAAAAATAATAAAATTTATGCACGCTACAGCAAGGATGTTGGGTTTGGGAACTTCGGCAACAATTACTTCAATGGGGGGTTCACATTTCTTCTTGTTCCTATTGCATTTGTTCTGTTATTGGGATTGGTACGCTACCAAACAAGTACTACAAGGTATTATTTCTTCTTGTTCTTCTTAACAATTTTTAAAAACTCAGCATATTATGATACACACACACACACACACACATATATATATATATATAGGAAGGTCGACAAAGCTTATCTAGAGTTGGGAAAATAGATTAATATATATATCTAGCATGCAAAGATACATAGTAGAGACATATATATATGTGTGTGTGTGTGTGTGATTATTACCGCAAGAACAGTGCTGCAGAAGTTGCAGCGGACATAGCAAAGATGCTCAGATGGTTGATTAATCAAGTCCATGGTGACTTTCTCTTCCAGGTTCATGTCGAGAACAAAAGGAAGACAGAAGAAGAAGAGGTGGTTTGGGGTTTGGGTTTGTAAAGGAAGATGAAAGTCTGGGGTTTGGGTGTTGTGATAGAGAGAGGCACTTATAGTTTAGGAGAAAGTAGCAATATATATATATATATATATATATATATACATAGCAAAGCAAGAGTGAAAAGGAAATCTAAAGTTACTATACTTACACACCCACCACTCACAAAGTCATCATCATCGTACGTACTGCTTCTGCTACCTGCTGCACTTAATTGCATTGCAGAGACCTCTCACTTGCACGTACGTACGAACCACAAACTTAGATATTGACCCAAGATATATATATATATATATATCTCACCATTTTCTCGAGAAAAGGTCCCGTGTGACATTTGATATATCCATTTCTCTTTTCTTTCTTTTGTTTTTTGTTTTTGTTTAATTGTTTTTTACCTTGCCATGCAAATGGTGTGTTCAAATCTATGATCATCCATTGATTGAATGAGTAAAGATTTGTTATCACCCTAAACCCCTTGATTATATTTTCATATTTCACCGAAAGAGGACATGTCCCATCAAAAATATTGTTACACAACAAGACCACCAGAGAAACAATTCGAAATTGACCATTTAGCCAATTCTTGTGATATACCCTATTACCTATTGGCATCTCTAGGCATTCAGGATAATTCACAATCAAAATCTTGTCGGGGGAACATTTTCTTTCTTTACTTTTTTTTTTCCCAGAATAAAAAAATTTGGAGTACCGGGGATTCAAATTTGAACTTCTTTTAACAAAGTATAAAGATAGAGAAATACTACGTCCATAGCTAGTTCGTTCATGATGCAAGTTCAAATTCGTATTTTTTAGTGTAAACTCTTATCCTAACTCACTCACATTCACCAAATATGCGACAATGAATTTGGCAAATATTGTTTATGAATTTGGCTACACTGTAGTAGTTGTAGTTATGCTGTAGCAAAACATTTCCCAGCCAATGCCATCGTTTATTGAGAGACATATCAGCCACGTCCTCATCATGCATATGCAAACGATGAGCTAGCAGCCCTGCAGTAAATATGAATTGGAGTTTGGAGCCACCCAGTAACCAGCCAGCCAGAATATTTATTAATATTTGTTGAATGAATGGAAGGAAAAAAGTTGGGGCGATGGAGAGAAGTTGGTGAGAAAAAGAGGCCCTGTCATCCCTTCCTTCTTTTGTGGGTGCAATGCCAAACTAGGAAATTCGAAAGAGACCACTGCTAAAATCACATGTCACTTCTTTCCAATTGGCCTGGACATGCCAGGACATGGGTTGTTTATATATATAAATATATATTTACCTCTCGTTTTTTCTATATAAATAAATTATTTTGGTGATGGGACGATTCTTCATTTTCCCAAACAGGAAATAAAGCCATTTTAACACTTGAATCTCCACCTTGCTTTGCTGGTGCAAGAAGCTGTTTTCCCAAGACCTCCTCACTTTTTTTTTTTCTTTTTCTTTTCAACTTTGCATGATCCTTAATTAGTCCTTGAATTCATAGAAGTAATTGCATGCCTCTGCAGGCAGGCCTCTCTGCTTCTGCATGAATCATGATGATACGTTTTGTACATGGATTGGACGCTTTTTTTTAACTGGTGCCCCACGAGATTCCCATGCCTGCTTTGAACCTCACCAAAGAAGTTACCAGACCCTTATTTTTCCCTTTCCTTTCAGTCAATCCATGAATATGATGTTCCAATTTGTGGTTCAGTTCATTAACATATTTGGACACAATCATTAGATCTATACCCTCCTCCATTTTCTATCTGTTTTTAGAAATCCAGATTTGACCCATCTCTTCCACCATATTTCTCTAGGCTGTCTAGCCTGTCTAGCTACCTAGATTTTGGCATCTGTGCTTGTTGGACACTTCCCTAACGTCTAGGGCACCTTCTTCCTGTTAGGTTAATTAGTGCTCGTTAACGTTATTTGTTATTTCTCTTTTTTATTCAAGTTTTTTCTTTGTTGGCTTTTTTCGGGGTTTTTTTTATCATTCTAATATGATATCAGAGACGTTTTCCGTATATATAGTTGATTTACATTTACTCAGTAGTACGTACAAAGCGGAACTTTATATGTTTAGGTCTGCATTTTTATGTTTAGCCACATGTGCACTAGCTTTGCTAAAAAACAACGTCCGTTTTTCTAACATATTTGATCATAAGATGATTCGTTTATCAGTGTTCATTATTATACTAAACTAATTAACATTAAACTAGGCATATAGATATGCAAATTATGATGATTAAGAAAACATATAGCACACTTGCTCTCTCCCTCCTGCATGAAATCATGCAACGGACAATGCACGGATGGAGATTTTTGTGTTTTGACACAACTGTTGCTTTAAAGCAGGATGCCACCATTCCTGAAAGCTTATCAAAAGCTGGCAAACCAAAGAGGAAAATTCCATGAAATTGAAACTGAAAAAGAAATCGAGTTCTCGAGCAATGTAAGCAAACCAGATTTAATTTTAAGTTTTTATTCTTTCTTTTAGATGCTCCAATAGCGTCCAACTAACAAATTAATATCTTAAGTTGGATGCAATCAAGATTATCCTCTGCTTTGAATATGTGATAAATTGGAGTTAGGTGCGTGAATTAACAGTTAAGTCGTTGTAGTATAGTGGTAAGTATTCCCGCCTGTCACGCGGGTGACCCGGGTTCGATCCCCGGCAACGGCGTCGTTTTTATTTTTGCGGTTTTGCCTTTCAATCAAGATTACCCTCTACGTTAAATTGTAATAAATTAATTTTAGGTTGAAAATTAAGCAACAAGGTCGTTGTAGTATAGTGGTAAGTATTCCCGCCTGTCACGCGGGTGACCCGGGTTCGATCCCCGGCAACGGCGTCGTTTTTATTTTTGCGGTTTTGCCTTTCAATCAAGATTACTCTACGCTAACTTATAATAAATAAGTTTTAGGTTTAAAAGTGAGCAACAAGGTCGTTGTAGTATAGTGGTAAGTATTCCCGCCTGTCACGCGGGTGACCCGGGTTCGATCCCCGGCAACGGCGTCGTTTTTATCTTTTGCGTCCTTGCCTTTAAATCAAGATTACTTACTCTACGCTAACGTATAATCAATAAGTTTTAGGTTTAAAATTAAGCAACAAGGTCGTTGTAGTATAGTGGTAAGTATTCCCGCCTGTCACGCGGGTGACCCGGGTTCGATCCCCGGCAACGGCGTTGTTTTTATCTTTTGCGTCCTTGTCCTACTTCCTCTCACTGCCCGTCACGAAATGGCCTGTCACTGCCCAATGAATGATACTGTTCGAGCCAATCATCCAATCCTATTGCAGGGTCACATACCAAACCAAAATACAAATGCAAGTAATGTTAACCTCGGCCTCAAAAGCCCCTCTCATTTTCGTTCCCGCCACAAACTCCTCCCTCCCTCTCTTTCTCTTAAAAATATAAATTAAAACTTTCGCCGCAGTTTTTGTTGATGCCCTTTCGAAAGCTCATCGGACTGACTCTCAGACCTAAAAATGACGAAGCCTAAAGTCGAAGAAGCAAAACCTAATGGGGAAGAGAACCCCGACGATCTCGAAATCAACTCGATCGGTTCCCTCTACAATGGACCTTGGGACAAGAAGTACTGGAGCTCCTCCAGGGTTCGATTTCTTTTTCCTCCTCTTAATTTCAAAAATTTCCTCTTTAATTAGTCACACTGTTCGATTTCTTTGTTCTGTATGCGAAAAATTTATCCACAATAAGAGGTTTGAGCTCTTCGATTGATTAATTGTTGAGTTGCGATTCTTATGTTCATAAGAAATGCAATTTTGAAAATTAAATGACAATAAGTAATTAGTTTTTTCATTCATATTTTATTATTTGCACTAATTCATTGAATTATGCCCCAAATTTTGAAGGGGAAAGATCGGTATCCTTATCCAGTTGGGTACCGGGCTGTTCGAGCTCACAATGGGAGCACATATAAGATGGAAATTCAAGAAGGTCCTAAAGGACCTTTATTTTCGGTTAGCCACTACTACCCAGGCCCTGTTGCTTTTGATTTTTAATGATATCTAATTTTTGGTTGTGATTTGTTTCTATGGGTTATAAATGTGCAGATTATTGCTGCTGATGGACAATCTTCTTCTGGGCAAACGCCATACATTGCATGGGAGAAATTTCAGAAGGCATTTTTTCCCCGCATGAAGATTTGGCATGGGAAGAGATTTTCGTGTAAAATAGATGGTGTGGAGGTAGATATTGATTCCTTTGCATAAGTAGTTTATTTCAGAGTTGCTTTTAATATGAGCAATTGGGGTTCTGTGAACAATCCAAGCAAGAGAGAATGAAAAAGTAAAAGCGACTTTATGAGTTTAGTCAATAAGAAACTGAAAACATTGACTGTTGACACAGTAACTAGTGCTCCATCCTGAATTTTGTGTTAGTCACTCATTACATGTTCGCTTAAATTGCAGCTCATGGCTGTACTATATTCATCGATAGTTTATTCCTGTTGTTGCTGCTATATGTTTCTTTTTATACCTTGTTAATTGATTTCAACCTCTATGGAGGATATTTTTTAACTATTCTGTCTGCTAGATAAGCATAAGGCATTTTTTATTTTTTCTTCTGTTCTTTCCTCCACATTTAATGCAAAAGTTTAAACAGATCATGGTGGTAATTCAGCATATTTTGTATGTAGTTTTTTGGGTTTAAAAATCCATTTGTCCAGAGGCTACTTCGGGAGCTGGCTGCAAACATTAACGGAACAGCAGAAAGGAGTTTGGTACCCTCAAGCTTCTGCAATGGAGCTTCTAGAACAGATGTCAATAATCGCTCTCCAGATGCATGTCCATACTTGGCAAAACCACGAATCACTGGGAAGAGAAGTAGGAGACGTGAAATTGTAAATTCAAAGTCATTCAGTTGGACTAGCATTAAAAGAACCAGACCTGAAGATCTGACATCTTTTGCCGAGCCCTCAGATTCAGTGGAAGGGAATAAGAGATATCATAATAATGGGAATTCCACGCTCCCCTCTTCTTTGGAAGAAGAGTATGACATTTGTAAATATTCAAAAGCATCGCCACCATTAGTGCATTTACTACCTGCT